GTTTTCTATAGTGGCTGCACCAATTTACATTCTCACCAGCGGTGCATGAGTGTTCCTTTTGTCCACACTGCCAACACTTGTGCTCTCTCTCCCTCTCTCCCTCCTCACCTGTGTGCGTGTGTGTGTTGATATCCTGGTTTTTATTTGCATTTCCCTGGTGATGAGTGATGTTGAATACCTTTCCATGTACCTGTTGGCCATCTGTAGGTCTTCTTCAGAAAAATGTCTATTCAGCCCCTTTGCCCGTTTTGTTTTTTGTTTTTCCAGTTGAATTGTTTGTTTTGCAGTCAACTTGCATGACTTCTTCATCTATTTATCAACCCTTATCAGATATATAATTTGCAAATTTGTATGTTCTCCCATTCTGCTGGATGCCTTTTCATTTTGTTGATTGTTTCTTTTGCTGTGCAGAAGCTTTTTAGTTTGATGTAGTCCCACTTGTTTATGTCTGCTTTTGTTGACTTTGCTTTTGGTGTCAAATCCAAAAAAATCGTTGCCAAGACCGGTGCCAAGGATCTTACCCTCTATGTTTTCTTCTAGGAGTATTACGGATTGAGGTCTTATATTTAGATCTTTAATCCATTTTGAGTTTATTTTGGAGTATGGTGTAGAAAGTGGTCCAATTTCTTTCTTTCTTTCTTTCTTTCTTTCTTTCTTTCTTTCTTTCTTTCTTTCTTTCTTTCTTTCTTTCTTTCTTTCTTCTTTCTTTTTTTCATGTGGCTGTCCAGTTTTCACAACACTGAAGAGACTATCCTTTCCCCATTGTATATTCTTGGCTCCTTTTGAAAATTAATTGACCATGTATGGTGTGCATGGGTTTATTTCTGGGCTCCCTATTGATCTATAGGTCTGTTTATAGTGTCAGTACCATACTCTTGATTAATATAGCTTTGAAATATAGTTTGAAATCGGGAATTATGATGATTCCAGTTTTGTTCTTTCTTAAGATTGCTATTCAGGGTCTATCAGAGTATTAATAACACTCAATATAGCGCAACTAGTTGTAATACAGAGTTACAAGACCGACTTTGATATTTAATTCTCCAAATTGACTGTAAGCACCTGAGGGCAGTTCATTAACTCACTGATACGTTTAGTTGACTACCTTTTGTTTAGGGTTTTTTGTTTTTGTTTTGTTTTAATTTTTTTAATGTTTACTTATTTTTGAAAGAGAGAGGGACAGAGCACAGGAGGGAAGGAGCAGAGGCAGAGGGAGGCACAGAATCCGAAGCAGGCTCCAGGCTCTGAGCTGTCAGCACAGAGCCTGATGCGGGGCTCAAACCCACAAACTGTAAGATAGTGACCTGAGCTGAAGTCAGACGCTCAACGGACTGAGCCACCCAGGCACCCCTGTTCAGGGGTTTTTGAGTTGGGTTGCTGTTCTCCTTGCAAGAATTGGAGGACTGGCACTTACTTGTCTGTACAAATGCAAGAGTTGGTCCTGAGTCAATGTATACGCAATTTAATTCATAGGCTATTAAGTATAGACACCAGGCTACAATAACTGAGCGAATTTTATTTCCGGATGATTTTTCTACCTTTGGTTTCTCACACTTTTGGTCGTGAAAGGTGAAGATTTATCGATATTTTTGTTCCCTTTCTTTGATGATTTTCTGGTTGGGGCTTTTGCTTGGATGGAAACAATCTTTCCCCTTTGTAATCACTGCGAAAACTTGTCTCCTTATAATGGAATGCAAGTGGGCACAAGTAGTCCACAGCATATGGTTTATATTTATCTGGTTTTAAATTTCTTTTGTTCAACAGTAAAACAAAGTTCTTAACATTATGTGACAGAAGGTTACCATAGATATTTTGCCAAAGCTTTCTTCATTGCCTAGGGAAACTCTAATGCCAAGGACTGTATACATGGGGTGAGTGTTTGAGAAAGAGGGTCTTCTTTTAGGAATAACAGTAAAACATGGTGTGGCCCTTGGGGAGAAGTTGCTTTTCTGAGAGCAAAAGGCAGGGCAGAACCAATCAGTGGTTAAGAGTATAGACTAAGTTGTGGTTTTGTCACTTACTGGTTGGTGACCTTGGGCAAATCCCTTACTCCTTCTGAGCCACAACTGCCTCTTTTATGAAATTAGGGTGTTGTGAGGGTGATATGAGCTGATGTGTGTAAAATTAAAAGCACCGTGCCTATTACCTAGGAGATACTCAATAAATGTCAACTGTTATCATTATAACATTGATGAGGATGAGGAGGAGGAGGAGAATAATCTTAGGAGAGCCAGGTGAAATTGATTTTGTGCTTTTGTTTTTTAATTACATGTAAGTGTGATTTATTCATCACAACTAGCTAGATGATCTGAGGTGGATTTGATCCCAGTAGAAATAATGATCCCCTAAGCATTGGTTATTTTATGAAATTACTGGGAAAAAGAAAATATTGATTATATTCCATATGATCACTAACTCTGAAAAATAATATATTAATGCAGTTTTCATGAGTATTAGTGGCTCATTGAGAAAACTCATGAAAATATCTCCATTGGTCTGTTTTGGTTTCAGAAGTCAAATTGAAGCACTCTACTAAGGTGAGCAGGGAATACAGGGACGCACAGAATTGTAAAATCTTACAAACCTACACAGTTTGTAAGACTCTAAACTGAACTGGCTGAGTGAACACCTCCACTGAGACATTTTCTTTGACTGTGTTATATAACATGCCTCCGTTGGCTATGTTGGTGTGTGGTATCCTTTGTGAGGTCATCAATGACATTATCCATTCAGAAGCAATGATACTGAGTTAAAGTCAATCAGCTATAAAACTCACATCCAGTGGACCACCAGGCTGCTGTCTCTATGGGGAGTGCACATGCATTGTTTAGGTAAATAGAACTAGGTCTCTATTCTCTGTCCCTCCTTGTCAGGGGAACCCAGTTAGCTTGAGTCCTACCTAGTCTATCTCTAGGCTGCTGGGGTTTCCATTGTCGTGTGATAGGCACCCATGTGAACATACAAAGGCACTAGGAATCGTGGTGGGCTGTAACAAATGAGTGCCTTCCAAATTGGCTTAGTTGAGGTTTTCAGTTATCAGAGCAACCTTGGACGTAAGGTTTTGCTTAGAGTTGGCTGATGAATGGCGGTCCCTAGCCATCATGTACAAGTTGTTTGGCATAACTTGGGAAAGAGGGCATGTTTGACAAAGAGAACTCCAGCAGTAGAGAAACATATGCCTGTGAAATATTTTGTCTGATGACAATCTTAATAAAAAAAAGATGGGTCTTAGGATTTATTACTTTGTCAGAAGGAGTGAGATCAGAGGAAAAATAAAATTTTCAGAAATGCCAACTTTTATTTTAGTATGTAATTTATAGTATTCCAAAATAAATTTTCTATAGAATCGCAGTTATCCACTTCACTGAAATTCTTTGATTTAATGTAGTTATGTTAATAGATTCTATTCATCCTATACGGACCCAAACATTTTAACGGTGACATAACTTACGTTGAGATATCTATATGTTCTTTACCATCCCTAGGTTAAAACTGACTTTATATTAAATACTTTCCTGAGTCATAAGATACCTGTAGAGCATAAGGTATGTTGTCCAGACAGGTCTGACCTCCACCCATTCAGGAAAGTAGGGTGGTGCCTTCCTGTAAGGTGTGGGTGTGCCAGCTACTATGGTGGATGAAAGTCTTAGATCAAATTGCTCACTATCAACTCTAAGAACTATTACTACCTCTTCTCCTTCTTCCTCTTCTTCTTCTCCTTCTTCCTCTTCTTCTTCTCCTTCTTCTTCTTCTCCTTCTTCTTTTTATGTGATCACACAGTGTTATCTTTTTTTTTTTTAGTTTAGCAAAATAAAAGCTGGCAAGAGTTGTTTTAGTGGAATTTTCATTTTTATGCCCTTTTTGTGTGTGTTGTTTCTGACAAAGTTAAAGTATATTGAAGCCCTCAAAAACACTTTAAAAAATTTCATGAGTCCCATGGCACAATATGTGTGTGTGTGTGTGTATATGTATATGTATATATGTACATACATATATATGTATTTCAAGGTGAGAAGAGAGTCAAGGAGCTAATGCAATATAAGACTTTATTCAGAAATATATAGTAAGCACGAAGACTGCTTCATATGAAGGGACTCCCCTTGAAATTGTGGTGCCATGCAACCTGGCTAGAAGAAAACTTTTTTTGTTAAGTTCCCATAGTGAAAGGAAATATGGCAATCACTAGCAATGATCTTCTGCCATTTTGTGAAAGGATCAGGCATGGTTTCCTTTCACTTAAAAAAAAATTTTTTTTTTTTAATTTTTATTTTAGAAGGAGAGAGAGAGCACAAGCCCAGGAAGGGGGGGTGGGGGGGAGAGAGAGAGAAAATCTTAAGCAGACTGTGCTCAGTGTGGAATCCTACACGGGGCTCAATCCTAAGACCCTGGGATCATGACCTGAGCCGAAATCAAGAGGAGGACACTCAACTGACTGAACCACCCAGGGGCCCCTCCATTGACTTTTTCTCTGTCAAGTGTAGACTCTTTTAGCGACAAGGACTGTGTTGGCTCTTGGCTCTAGTGAGAGCTTCCTTAGGAGGACAAAGCTCAGGAAGGGAGTCGTGCTGCAGTTTGAGTTAAAACCGTGCCAAAGAACCTGAAGTAAATGTGAAGCTCACTCTGGACTAGTGTCAGACTTCCCCCAGTTTTCCCTGTGGAGGGGATTAGCAGTGGAACAAATCTGCAAGTACAGATACACAATACCATTTCTTGTCACGGCTCTCTTGACTTTATGCTGTGTAAATATCCTCGGTTGTCTCTTAATTTGCTCTCCTCTTTAATTCCTGTTGGAAGGCCACTCTTACGTGGTCAGTTCCCCGGTCTCCTTTTTTTTGAGCGTTGTTTTTGGCCCATTATAACTTCCTTATTTTCTGTTTTGTTTTCTAGTTTAGCACAGTTTCAGAATTGCGAGTCTCTTTTTATTATGGGGATTGTTATCTAATAAAAATCCTAATTCACTTCTTTCTGTTTCCTTTTTGTTTTTCTTTGTAGGCTAAGAAATGGCATTTCAAAAGGCAGTGAAAGGGACTATTCTTGTTGGAGGAGGTGCTCTTGCAAGTGTTCTAGGCCTCTCTCAGTTTGCTCATTACAGAAGGAAACAAGTAAGTAATTATGCATGTATTGATTACAATATGAAACTTAAATCTGTTAAAGAACTACGTATGGGGCATGTGTATGTTAATGGTTTTTGTGTAGAAATTACGGTCTCAACTTGATCTGAAAGGCACTAATTTGGAACACTACCTTAATGGTCCATGAGAACTATGGTGTTATCTCATTTTTTAAAAAGTGAATTTCTCTATCAGAAAGCATTATATTATTTAGCCACTGTTGTGGCTCTTTGGTTTTAAAAGAGTGCCTCATTTCCAAGCCCCAGCCTTTGTTCATTTTAGGCTTTCCTTGTCCAATTCATCCAAATGTCTGGATACCTTCTATGTTCCTGCCAAAAGTTTGTCTTATTAGAAGGCAGGCAGGCATCTGAGACAGGAAATGGAAAAGAGTCTATACAAAGGGCCCAGCTTTGAATCTTGGTTTTACTCCTTAAAGGTTTTCTTACTTAGGTAGTATCACTTGATGTTAGATAAATTTTTTTTTTTTTCAACGTTTTTTATTTATTCTTGGGACAGAGAGAGACAGAGCATGAACGGGGGACGGGCAGAGAGAGAGGGAGACACAGAATCGGAAACAGGCTCCAGGCTCTGAGCCGTCAGCCCAGAGCCTGATGCGGGGCTCGAACTCACAGACCGCAAGATCGTGACCTGGCTGAAGTCGGACGCTTAACCAACTGCGCCACCCAGGCGCCCCGATGGTAGATAAAATTTTTAATGGGAGAAAGCCATGAAATGAGATTGGTGTGAAGTTTCCAAATAATTTGAAGGGCTCAGTTTATTTTAATTTTATTTAAAAAATGTTTTTTTTCCCTTTGCACTACAACTATGCCAAATTGATGCCAGGAAATAATTTTGATGACTGGTTTTGTTCCTTTTAGGCTTGAAATGCTGGTAGTCACCCTAGTAATTAGTATTAGTCTCCTATTCTCCCTTCCCCATGTCACCGGGGCATTTTATGATACCAGCTTGGTAGTGCCTTCTCGATTCAAAGATGAAGGTAAAGGAATTTGGGAAACTGTTTGCAGCCAGACTGTTAACTACTCATTTTTTGCATTTTTGCGAGAGCCTTGACACCATGGGTTGTCTTGCCCTTGTCTTTTTCTTTGTGTTCCAAGACAATGGAGCCCGCCACAGTCCTTAGAGTCCAGGTCCTGAATGAGAAATACTACTTTAAAAACACATATTAAGAAGAATCAACTTGGGGCACCTGGGTGGCTCAGTCGGTTGGGCGTCGACTTCGGCTCAGGTCATGATCTCGCGGTCCGTGAGTTGGAGCCCGCGTAGGGCTCTGTGCTGACAGCTCAGAGCCTGGAGGCTGTTTCAGATTGTGTCTCCCTCTCTCTCTGACCTTCCCCCATTCATGCTCTGTCTCTCTGTCTCAAAAATGAATAAACGTTAAAAAAAAAAAAAAAAAAGAATCAACTTGTTGGCTTATAGTTAAAAACAAAACACAAAACAGACACATGCACAAAGGCTCATTTTTAGTGCTTCTTCCTAAAGACAGACAGAATTGAATAGGTTGTGTTAGTCTTTTTCATTCTTACCTGTGAGCACATTGCCCGTGAGGCTTCCCCAGGTGTATGCCTTGCGGGTATTATTGACTGACTTGCTAGGAAGCGCGTCTTCACTCATGGATCACGCCCGATGCGCTATTCCTTTAGTTTTCATTTTTTTACTTCTTTAAAGTTTATTTATTTATTTTGAGGGAGACAGAGGCAGCATGAGTGGGGGAGGGGTAGAAAGAGGGAGACAGAGAGAGGACAAAGCAGGCTCCATGCTGCCGGCGCAGAGCCAGATGCGGGGCTTGAACTTACGAAACCGTGAGACCATGACCTGAGCTGAAACCAAGAGTCAGATGCTTAACTGACCGAGCTACCCAGGTGCCCCCGATGCACTATTCCTTGCATGCAAGGAATGCCCCTCGGATGACTGCCCTGGCTAAGCTCATTACTGTCAACACACCCGACTTGGTGCTGTTTGTGGGGGAGGCCTTAGTAGGCAATGAGGCCGTGGACCAGCTGGGCAAATTCAACAGAGCCTTGGCTGACCATTCTATGGCTCAAACGCCTCGGCCCATTGATGGCATCGTCCTTACCAAATTTGATACCATTGATGACAAGGTGGGAGCTGCTATTTCTATGACCTACGTCACAAGCAAAGCCATTGTCTTTGTGGGCACTGGCCAGTCTCAACGCTGTGACCTACGCAGTCTCAACGCTAAGGCTGTGGTGGCTGCCCTCATGAAGGCTCAGTTGCCTCGGTTGCTTAAAAATAAGTGTGAAAAGATGCTGCTTCTGCTGAAGCTGTTTCAGAAGTGCAGTTCTGTTTGGGACATGGGCCTTAATGGATTGGGTTACTTCTGCCATCTTTACCAGGGCCATCTGAAATGACACTGGCAAATGCCAGCACCAGAGGTCACAATATCTAATATAATGTTGCCAAATTTGTACATGATTTATCTCTATAACCCACAGCAAGCATGTTCTACTTCAGAGTTTATAACTTAACTTTGTGCTTGGGTAATACTGTCTCATATGTTTTGTTTGTTTGCTTTTTCTTTTTTTTTAAATTTTTTAATGTTTATTTACTTTTGAGAGAGAGAAAGAGACAAGAGTACAAGTGGGGTAACGGCACAGAGGGAGGGAGACACAGAATCCGAAGCAGGCTCCAGGCTCTGAGCTGTCAGCACACAGCCCAAAGTGGGGCTCGAACTCACAAGCCACAAGATCATGACCTGAGTTGAAGTCAGACGCCTAACTGACTGAGCCACCCAGGTGCCCCTGTTTGTTTGCTTTTTCTTAATCTCACAGAGTGAACAGTCGATACTGCCTCTAATCAATCAAGGTAGGAGTGCATTTTAGTCAGTAAAATCAAGGCAAAACAAGGGTCTTTTGATTTCTGGGTCATTTTGCCATTTTCTCCTTCCTAAGTTAGACATCCTGACCACCCTAATAGCGAAATGAAACAGATACCAGCGGTTTCAAGTCATTTATAATTTTAATCTGACAAGTTCTTTTGAGAAGAATCACCATGGGCATATTCAATCAATGAGTTGCATGAGACTTTCACCCAAGCATGTGCATTCTTTTGTGGTGATTCCTGTCCCTTAAAGCCACTACTATGAGCATATTTTTGGGTAGCAGGTTGGTATGTAGCCCTAGGGATTAGGGAAAAAAAAAAAAGAGAGAGAGAGAGAGAGGGGAGGTGAGGGGGGAGGGGAGACAACTCATTTGAGCCACTGACATAAAATGACCAGGGGCCTCAGCTGTCCTTTCTCAGAAAATATCTGCCAATCAGAGCCATTCTGGGGGCTTTTCAATGGTCAAGAAAAAATCTGCCCCTTAATACCCATTATTTGGCTACATTGTGTAGAAGCTGTCTCCTTAAAAATGCTCCATTTTTCTGCAGAGCAATAAAATGCTTAAACTATGGGCTTGTGTTTTTATATTTTTTTCAGTCTTCTAAGATGATTCTAACTGATAAATTGTTCTCCTTTAAGAATAAGTTGGTGTTGAAAGTACAAGATACTGAAGTATAAGAAAGCCATCTGTCGAGTTCAAGTCCAGGCACATTTTGCTGGCATTCCCGCACCTACTGTTGTGTCTCCTCTGACTCCTAACTGGTGCTCATTTGATAGCTGGAGCACGAAGCTTCCTACCTTAAATACCCGTTCTGAAAACAAACGGGTTGACTGTAAAAGTTGGTCAATTGTTAAAGCACATTTGACTAAGACAGTGCTGTGTCTAAGTGTTTACGTGCCAGGCCAGCTCACACAAAGCCTTTGAAATCAATTCTACAGTTTAATTACCTTGTATTTGCGAGGGGGATAATAGAAGGAAAGCTCTTATACATTCAGTTTTTGTTTTTTTTTATTAAACAGAAAACACTATGAAATCAAATAGGATCTTGTTCACTTACCTTTTAGCCACTTGCTTGAATAAAAGCTATTGTAGGTGAGGAGATAGAGACCTTTGGGAGACTCTGGCATTTCTGGGGGCAAGTTGGGGGTTAGAGGTGATCGTAATGATTGTTTGGTCTCACTTCATAGTATGGTTTTCCCTCATATGAGCATATTGTGAAAATTTATATTTTGTTTTTCAGTGATCAGGTGTATCCATTGTTGACCCAAGGGAAGCCTAGAGACTTTTTTCCTTGTGAGATAAATAGATCAGAGTTAGAAGGGATGAATATCATGACTTAAGGAGATATCACTAATTATTACTATCATTATCATTATTATTATTATTATTATTATTATTTTCTTTTGAAGCTGGAGCAACCTAAGTTTTCCTATTCCAGTGAGGAAGCTGAGAGGGGAAAAGGGATGAATGATGGCTGACATTTTTTGACCGTGTATCCCTGCAGGAAAGGAGTTTTGTGGCCACAAATGGCATCCACTTTTCAGGCTCGCTTCAGTTACACATGTAGGGTTTTTTTTGAGTGGTCTTGAAGAGGCTTCCTATTCGTTTCATTTTCCTCCTTTTATTTCCTCATCCACAAATAGGTGATTAAGTTTCCGCAAAGTCTTGGTTTTCCTCTCCCCAGACCAGCTATATTCCAAGGACCAGGAGGCTGAGGAGTGGGTCTAAACCTCTTACCACTTGAATCCCCACCAGGGGTGCGGCAAGCAAGCACCTCTGCAGTGGTGTGCTGAGTTCTGAGAGCAAGTTATTTACCATTCACTATTTACTAGAGGTCTGTTTAATAATAAACTTTTGATTGGAAGGGACTTGGAAGACATCCAGTCTTCCTCTGGGGACAGGATGCTCTTCTAGTGATTCCTTTATCTCTAGTGAAGGGAAAGTGTTACTTCATGGGTGAGTCTCCTTTTCTAATTTCAAGCCAATGGGAGACCAGAATGGATGGAGAGGGGCATTGAAATTAGGAGAGAAGGCCTTGGGTACTTTCAGAGCCAGTAAACTTTAGCGAGGAGCGGAGGTAGAGTGTGTTAAAGTTGGGGTTGCATATGAGGGTTCCTCAGGGAGGTGGGA